ATATATATATATATATATATGATTATTTTAATTATATATGTATATTAACATTAATTATCTAACAGTCTTGCCGTCTTGCATATCTCTGATGCTCTGTGATTCAGAACAACAGCGGTACAAAACCTTAAATGAGGGTTTTATTTGACCAATTATCAGTATTTTCTTTTTTATTTGTTATTTTAACAATTGCAGCATCAATACCTCTGGGATTTAAAGCTACAGCACATCGGACCTGGGTCGGCCATACAGCTCACTGTTCTCTGCTGGTATTCCTTCGTAGTTCCCACCTATATAAATCCCTGGTCCATCTTGGTCAGACCTATGTAACAATTTTAATGGGAATTTCAGGATTTTCACATAAAAAGGGACAAGGTTAAATACTAAAACACATCTGAGTTAGGAAAAAAAACAAAAAACATACATTTCAGAATTCCAAGGTAAACTGACCAAATTTATCCAAGATTCCTCTACACAATCAATGAAACATTTCAATAAACAATGTACAGTGCTTACCCATGGTAGGAGTTTGGAATTACAGAAAACATAAAAAAAAAAAAAAAAAAAAAAAAAACAGCTATCTTGTTTTTGCTTCTAAGAGGAGCAACTTGTACCAACAGATTCATGTCTACTGCGCAGCTTGTTTATGCAAGGAGAATTTCCGGTACATACTTCCCTCTGAATACATGATTTAATGTCTGTGGTTTATAGAGGGGCCCCTTCACTTAGCCAGTATGACAGAAAAAAAAAAATGGATAAAAACTTGTAGAGTCGGTCATGTAACATAACTGATTGACTGGGTGTTTGTTTTGGAAAAAGCCATATGGGTATTTGACCTGTGCAGAATTAGAAAAGGGGGACACATAAACAACAGATAAAAGCTGTTGGGGTGGACGACTGCAATGCACTAATCGCATCCCAGAACATCATATAGATCTTCTGGCATTTTTAGTTGGATAGGTAAAGAAAGGAGTCATTCAGGTGGACATTCATGAAAAAAACCACCTCTCGATTGAGGGATCCCTCTCATCTCTAAAGCTGTAGTACTTAGGTTTTACAGTATGTGCCCATTCTGTTCTGGAGTTGATGGATAACTTAAGTGCCACAGAGAGCCCAGGGTTAAAAACTAAACCAGGCCTGTAGAACCTTGTATGATTTACTGAACTGCAGCTTTTGCAGGGTACTTTAAAGCTGAAACCTAGAGTGCATCCAGGCTTTACATGCACCAACCCACACACACATTAGCTATTGGCTCAGAGTTACATGGCAGTGAAAACAATGACGGTTTGTCAGGAACAGTCGGCAGTGAGTTTATCCTTGGTGTGACAGGTGCAGATGCAGAGCCCGTCTCATTACACCCGTAATCATTAACTACTTGTATTTCAGTCTGTGTCTGTGAGCGTGTTCATTGCTTTACATTGTGGTTGTTCCAGTCAATACCTTGGCCCCTCTAGATTTTTTATAAGCCACAGTTCATTGCTTTCGTTGACTGATTGCCTTATCTGCGCTGGGTACATAATGATGTCACTAAAGGTGTGTGTTAACTCCTGAGCGAGGCTATTGGCAAGGGGTGGTGTTGCTCCAACCAATATCTTTTCTTATTTACCATTGAAAAAATGGTAAATATTTTGCTGTTTTTGGTGATTCTAAAAAATTCAAGGAAAATTACAGAAAAATTACATAATGCCGATTTTTTTTTTTTTTTTTTTTTACCTAATGTTGGTCTGTGGTGAAATATTTCCATTTGCTACCATGGTCTTTAAAGCAAGTGTCTATATCTTTTGGGAGTATGAGCTAAATCTAACCCTAAGGGTGGCGTTGTATGAATGTGACAGGATAAATGTGACCATGTCTTTGTCTATGTGCCACATTGGGTGTTTTCCTCCCCCGACTTACCGGAACATCGTAGGCCCCATGTATAACAGGGCCAGCCTCTTCCTCCATCTTATGCTCCCCACCGATGAGAGGTGCCTGTGTCTGCTGGTGGGCTGATTGTCCTCTTGGTATGTGGTTGGATACTTCGGTATGAGATGTCTTATTCCTGGTGTCTGCCCGGACTGGCCTAGGCCTCCTGGCCCTTTGGGGTCCCCACTAGGGCGTGGTGATCCCCTGGGGCTTCGACCTCTGGCTCTCATCCGGGTTCTCCTTGGGAATGACTGGCCTCATGAGACCATGTGCTTGTTACCGCAGCTCCATGGTACCTAGGGGCAGCATGGCCCTGGGGTTAGGCCCCTCATGGACTGGTCTCCTTAGGGGTCATGCTCTGGGTGCTCTCATCTGCCCTTCCCTGGTGGGTGGAGCCACCCCCAAGTCTGCCCTCTTGTGTCCCAGTGATCTGGAGTCCCTTTCGATATTCCTTCTGAAGAGCCTTTAAAAATCCTATATACATGATCGTGCTCATGCATACATACCTCAAGAATTTGGTACCAGGTGTTCATACAAGCTACACGCCATTTGGCTTTGCAATACAATCCACTCAGGGCTGCAGGAAAATCCATATTTCTTTTCAAAACTATTTTTTTTAACCACATTTTTTTTCTGCTACTGAGATTTCCACAAATACATTTGTGTGCAGCTCTCTGCAAACAACCAGCACCATTTATCAATGAGTTGTGCTTAATATTTCTTGTGGAAGATGTCTATATGGTAAGCAGTGATCCAAATTATTGTGTGAACCTTATTTCTCAATGTAAAGAGAACAAAAAGTGTTAATACATATGATTAATTGATCATATATATCCTATATAAGCTTCATGTTTTAACTGAATTGCTGGTAAAATATTCTTCTTTTCTCTGGTGTTTGTACCTTAAGAGCTGAACGGGAGGAAATACATCTGAAATCACATTGTGAACCTATCTATAAATCACAGCTATATTCATCTCACCAGCTGTTGAAAAGATAAATTGCTTTCAAGGAGAGCGTGGCTTGACAAGTTCACTATATCAACATTCTCTTCAAGGAACTCAGAAAAAAATGTGCCCACTTTGCTAGAATCCTCACAGAAGATGGCTAAATAAATAAAAATGTCCTTTTTAGTCTGACAGCAGTCTCCAGAGCTGTCTGATAAAAACATGCTAAATCCATTTTAGGTAAATGGGTGGGGCATAACTGAGAGTCTGAGGAGTTGAGCTGACGTTTAGTGCACTCTATGAAAAAGCAGTCAATACGATCCATCACAGAATACAGCTGGTTTACTATATAGCCGGTCAATGTTGGGGTTATTATTGACAAACCTGCTCCACTCAGGGCTAACTGTTAGTTATGTTAGCTGTTAGGAATGTCTAATAGAGTTAGCTCTGGCATAAAACACCCTCTGGTTAAAATCACTTATGGATCAGCTACAGCTCCCTCTGTAATGATTGGGATACATGTTCTTCTGCTCATGAGTGAAGATATTTAATTAAACACAGAATCTGCTGGTCATCCTCTATTTAAATCATTTACTGAAACTTAAGATTAATATGGAGTCCAACTTTTCTTCAGTCCAACTTCTTGTAAGACCAATGTCTTACAATGTCTTTTCTCTTTGTGTTTTTTGTACTTATATTCTGTTCAGACTCCTGACATGTGCTATACTTGCCCTCCACTCTGCCATTATTTCATCTGTCCTGTGTTTGTTTATCAATGAGTGTTTTTTATACTCACAAAAGGAAAAGTCCAAACTGCACTTAACTAGTAGGTCAACAAAGAAGATCATTAGGGCTGAGCTTCAATCTAGAACTAGTACAGGTCTAGAGTCATGAGGAGGACAGAAACAAAATACATATTCCGCCTTTTTAAAACTTGCAACTTCCTATTTTCTTTTTTTAGACACAAAACCCTAAAGGTACTGTTTATATAAGAATACCTCTTTGCTATGCCTTTAAAATACTGTAAACAAAGTCAAATTCCCTTATTACGCTCAATCCTGGCTTAATAAAAATGATTCTGCACCTCCTCATCTTGAAAATACAGTGATCATACAGGTGTTCTACATAGAAAGGGGATAACCTATCTCCTCCATGAAGCCTCTACTCAGACTTCACCTACCCTGCCAGGTAAAAAAAAAAGGCCACTTTCTAAAATCAGCAAGCGGTGATGCGAGGAAGAGTTTAATAATTTCTTATAAAAGTTTGGATTAAGTACCTAATATAGCTCCTAATCTGTACGGTGACAGCACCTATTCTTTCTTAATTAGTGGCCTGAGCCTTAGTTCTCTCTTCTTAAAGAAGAGCCTATTTGCCTCAAGTGGCCTGATACCATGCTGCATCTGCTCTGAGCCAGTATTATGAAATATTCAGCCAGTGTTGTGCCTGAACGCGTTCATTGAACGAAAGTTCATGAACTCGTTCATATTTTGGGCGAACGTGAACTGAACGTACTGCATTACTGCCTGATGAACGCTATTGTGAACTCGTTCATTCTGGTGTCTGTGAACGGCACGCTCTCTCAGTTCAACTCCGTTCAATAGGTTGCCAGATTTCTATAGAGTCCTCCAGGCGAAACCCCGGCTAAATCACACCGTAAACAGACCTTAATATGTAGCGGGGAAAACACCCAATCTGGCAACAGCAGCTACCAGTGTCAGCCGCGTGCGTCATCAAAACAAAATGCAGCATGGAGGCGACCGTGGAGGCGACAAAGCAGCAGTATGATCACTTAAAACAGTTTTATGACCAGGTGGTCGGTGAGGATGATGGCAACAAGTTTGCCCGCCGGCTTTCAGTAAAAAAATCCGCACTTCAGTAACCTTAAATTCCTACCTCAGCCTGGTCCCTCAGTTTGTGTTAGTAAAATCTTCTTGAGCGGAGGTCTTCAACAGGGAATCCGCGACCCCTAGGGGGTCTACGGAGGTACTGCATGAGGGTCTGCATGGTTAGTTGATATTTTTATATTCCCCCCCTGCAATTTTTTCCCCCACTAATTGAAATGTCTTTAAATACTCATTAACATGAAATCAACACACTGTAGTAAACAGATAAATGGAGACAAAAGATGTCTTTCAGTCATCAATGCTCACATTCAGCGACACACAGGAGCTCTTTCAAGCTGGGCACCGTTTCCTTCACAACAACCAGGAATCAGAATCAGAAAAACTTTAATAATCCCAGGGAGAAATTAATTTCTTTACATTACTCCATCTGTAATAGAGTGACTATAGGACACAATTTCATACAATATATATAAATAGGGGGTCCCCGCTCCATCTCGCCATCAGTTTGGGGGTCCTTGGTCTGGAAAACATAGAAGACCCCTGTTCTTTAGGGTTTTACTATCCATGTAACTTGTTTGTTAAACCTGCCTGGTATAATTTTCCAGGATTCCAGTATTCCTTTTTAGTATGTATTGAAATGGAATTTCAAATGGAAAAAATTATTAAAATAAAAAAAAAAACATTTGCACCTTAAAGACTACTTTCCTATTTTTCTTTTAATAATTACTCATAAAAAAGACCATTCAAGCAGCACATTTTTCCTGATGTTTTTGAGAATATATTGTAGGGGTGAAAGCTGCAGCTGCTACTAGTGTGAAGTGAATGGACAGCAACAAAGCATTAAAGCAACAATGGGGAAATGCTGTCCCCTCAATGCTAATGTAAACCCTGGTTGGATAAGGATTCAAAACTGGATATGAAGATGAAATCTGACGCACAGTTTCAGAGTTACAACTGATAAAATAATTGCTGTCTGTGGTTCTACAGTAGGCTATGGTGTAATTGAGCAATATATGAAAAAAAAAAAAAGAACTATGAACTAGTTCATTTTTTGGTTTTGAATTATGAACTATGAACTGAACTAGTTCATTTTAAAATGTGTGAACTGAACTTTGAACTAGTTCACGTAGAAAGAGAACTTTCCCAACACTGTATTCAGCACCCACATGGGGGACGCATTAAGGGAAATATCATTGTTCTTTGGTACCAAGGCTTTGAAAAAGCACAACATGGAACCTGTAACAGGCAAAGTTTCTTGTCTCTTAACTCTCTAAATCTTTTTTTATGAACATCACAGTTAAAATGAAATCGCAATAAAAAAGGAAAGTGTGTGATGTCTCCTACATTATGGGCTAAACTGTATAACATTGTGTCATATGTAAGAGCTTTGTCATTGTTGTTCTTATCATGTCGATGACAACTCAATCTTTTCCACTGATGATGTTTCCATGCGGAGCTTTGTGGTAAAGTGCTAGACTCACTTTAGCATCTTAACTCTCTGTTTTGATGTGACATATAGTATATTTAACTCCGGTTCTTGTTAATCATGTGATGACCAAAAAAATGGAGGGAAAAAGGGCATTTTTAGCTTCAGAAACCAAACCTACCCACATTAATTAAGAGATATTAGGGCTCAGCAGGTCACATGTCTTAGCAAAGCATGAAGCTAAACCAACCAATAGAGTCATTCTTCAAGTAATAACATAAGATTAAGTTGTGATTGTGTGAAGTCCTACTGTACAACTAGGGTTGTCTGCTTCATTTCCACATCTTATTGGGGATTTAACCCTACACCTATATAAGGAATCAGGAGCTGAGTTTGAATATTATTTAAAAAAGGCTTAAACTGGAACAGGTACTTAAACTATACCTTAAGTACTTTAAAAAATAGTCACCAGGATGCAAACTTTTTTTTTAATATTCTCTCAATTTGGATGCAAGAATTATTTATAAAAAGCAAAGGTAGTTTTACTTTGTTGTACATAGATATGCATAAAGTGCACAGGTGATAAATAATCAGGTGCACATGCTCAGTACCCTTTCTAATTATGTTTAACAAGCAACCTCTGCAGCCATTTTGAATTCCTGAAAGTTCTGAGAGCTTGTTCTGCATGCCCAGCTGGATTCCAATCAGTTTAGCAGTTGACAGTTTAAAAACTTTTAATATGATATCCCTAAGAGCAGTAGCCTATATAATAGAACCAACCTAAAGACGTATAAAGTTCTTGAGTAGATAGTGAGGGCCTCTAAACCACTTTGGACAATAGCGTTGTTTAAGAAGTCGACTTTTGCACAGAGGATTAGCTGATAAATAGAACCCTTAAAAGACTTGTTGCTGTAGCTTTATGAAAATGAAGTTTTAAAAATTGGAGCTAAGAATAAATACATAGTTTTAAAATATAGAAATAAAGAAATATTACCGTGAATAATTTTCTCATGCTACATTGAGTTGGTCCTTTAAACAAAATCCCAATAGAATTTGCTGATGTTTGAAGTGAAGACATGTAAAGAAATTGTTCTTGTTTGATCATTTGGAGAGCACTGCATTAGGCCTTGTTTTTCCTTTATGTTTTAAATGCTCCCTTAATTATTAACA